TCTGGTTAGTTTAAGATAATTTCTTACAGGTTTTGTGGGCTCAAAACAAACTCTAGGTGCAAGCATGACTTCATGTATAGCAACTATCAAATACAAGTCAGCAACTGGACATCAGATATATTGCCTTGAATACAAACTCGTCCAGTTAACAAAAGAAATATCAGTGTGTTTAAAAAAAGCTTTCCTTCTATCCTTCAGTCAAATACCTTCTATAAAAAATATAAAGAAATATGTGTCATCATAAAAATGTTAAATGTCAAGATATTTTTCCACTTGCGTGATGTGACTGCAGAGCTAACAATGACTTTCTCAGAGTAATACAGGCATGCTTCTTCCCATTCTGCCAGCGTGGCCTGAATGCAGCAGTAGAGGTCTTAGAATAACCTAGTGACCACAGAACAACCTCATTAGAGTGAAGTCTTGAAAAAACTGGCAAAACAGGATCAACACACAGTGATAAAAGTACACAGCTCAGTCCTTCCAGACAACTCTCCATCTCACCACAGCTGGATTATCCTTTTACAGCTCACAAGCAACTCCAGTTATTATTCAGGGCCTATGGCGTTCCTAGAATGACTTAATTGCACAAAAACAGTGAGGCCACACGGTGCTGTGGGCGACCAGCCTAATGTACCTAAAAGATTAGACAGCCATGAGCTCAACAGTCACAAGCACGGACAAACTTGCGCACATTCGTGCCCATCCCCCTCCTTGGGCAACTCTCCACTTGGTTACACAACATATACAGGGATTACTCTTCATTGCATGAGATGAGCTGCTCAATGAGTGGCTTTTATCATGGATGCCCCTTTGTGCACAAAAGGGGGCATCCGTGGCATGACAGAAAAGACAGCAGCAGTTTTACCTGCTGCAGAAATACACAGTGGTGTCATGCAGACATCAGAAACTACCTGAGCAGCTCCACTAAAGAGCAGAAAAGCAAAGATGAAGAGTTGTTATTTTTAGGGCTATTTTCAATTACTATAGGTTATTATTACTGTTGATTTATCCTCCATGGTAGGCCTGAGGATCCACTGTGTACCCACTCTCTTTTCGGTTCGGATTGGCTAGTGTGGGAGACACTGGAGTATAATCTGCTGGCATTAACTTGCTCTCTAAAAAAAGCACTCTCGACAGGGATTAGATTATCATGGCAAGGTCAACTCAAACTCACTCCGACTGTCTCCCTTTATGTCTCTATCACTCTGGTTTTACTTTATCGGCCTTCCTCTCATCGTTCGGCCTCCTGTCCATAGGTGTAAATTCGAAGAGACTGATTTCATTGTCACCTAAATACGAGTCAAGCCACTAAGTAAAAGAAATGACAACAGATTAAAGGAGATTAAGCCTACAGAATAAGGCCAAGAAAAGCAGTAAATCAGAACACTTATTAGAAAATGTTTTGTTGATTTAAATTATGTAAAAGTATTATTGTTTTGTTAAGCCTAATTATGATTCTCATCATTTTCTAGTTATTTTTCTGGTGACTGACTAATAGGTTCATCAAAAAGGAGGCTGTCACTGTAATCTTATGCATCTTAAATTGGACATAAACTTTAGCTTGAGTTGATCCTCAGACTAATGAAGATTGAGCCCAAATAATGGACACAGCCACTTTAACTGTACAGTAAATATTATTTTTATGACAGGTTTGCAGTCAGAATTAATGTCTGCATGCAAAGGTGCATCAGAGGCTGAGGAGGCTGAATCACTCCCCTGCAAATCAGAAAGAAATTTGACATAATTTTAACTAAAATAAATACAAAATGCTAAAGCTGATATTTCTAATCAAACATACTTGAAGTTGATTTGGTTTTGCTTTTTCCTGACATCTAATGTTGATCTCGATCTGCGTAAAAGATCATAATTCTCAAGTTACGTAGTAGATAATGATTTGTAACGACATGTGTGTGTAATTTCCCGTTTCCTGATGATTAAGGTAAGGATTGAAAAAGCGTAAGGGGATACCTGCTTAGCGATTTTACCCTGGAGCAAAAGAATGACAGCTGGCAGGAGGGTCTGGATTAGGTTTCCCATAGGGGTATTGCATCTTTTACACCACCACTTCTTTGGAATAGAATGAGCCGATAGTAACCTGATTCCTCCAGACCCATCCAATCTCGTCTCATTGGTCTCAATGGGACCAAACAGAAGGGATCTGTGAACGCCTTACTCATCCCTCCCATCTTCCATCTGCCAGTGTCTGCACTCCAGTTCCTCCACCGGAGACTTAAAGGCCATGTTCTTCTTTCTTTTCTTTATTGAGGAACCTATATAAATCATCAAAAACTATAAATGTTCTCCGCCCATTCAATTCTTAATTGTGCTAAAATAAAGGAACGCTGCTTTGTGGTTTTGTAAAAAATGATGCAGTAGGTAGATCAGTGTTGCTCAAAGAACAATACTGATGGTAATAAGCTCCTAAAGAAAATTCAATTTGTTTTACATTTACATTTTCAGAATTTTTTAAACATAAATATGAATATTTTTCATTTGTAATTAGAAGACAAATTTCCTGATTAATAATTTGGTGTCAAAAAATTAGCAAACACGTTATAAAAGTTAAAACTTTGAACTTTAGAAAAGAAAAAAAAAGCATGTTTAAATGTTTTACATTTATAATTCTCTTTTTTTGTTTAGGAAAAAGTAGCAATTTGAGTAGATTTACTTGCTTAAATTTTAAATGCTTAAGCTTTAACGCGCTTGTCCCTAAAGATTTTCTGTAGGATGATGTTTCTCATCTGTTTACATAAGGCCCAGGTAATGTGACCACCACCACATGCTCTGAATGCAGCATGTGATCCATCTGTATGATGTGCTGTTAGGTAATCACATCAAAAGAGAGGATGCACACTCAGCAAGAACGCGTACACCTTTTAGCCACAGATTCACCCGCTGCAGACATTTGGCCCACTGAACAGTGCAGATGTTTTTACGTCTAAGTGTAAAGCTCAGTTTTCTGTGTTTAACCCACTCAAAACTTGTTTTCTTTTTTAGGGGTTTTTAGTTGTTTCATTCTGAAAAAACTAACTCCACTGTGATTTGGATGTATGTTAAACATAACTGAAAGATTGTTACGCCTACTATAGATGTTACACTGAGAAATAAATTGACGAAAGCCACTTTTCCCTCACGGACGAGGAAATCTTTCAAAGATGGTTTAAAGTTACATGATTGCATGATCTGGATTGCTTAAAACATTTGGGGCGGAGAGTGTCTGTATGAAAACAGTAAGTGATAACAGAAGTTGTGATCAACAGCAGCACTGCAGCTCATGTTTGGCCATTTGTGTTAACATGACTTTTTTTAACAACGCTACAGGAAACTGGTTGAAGTGTTTGCCGCACGACCAAAAGTACTGAGACCAGGTGCAGTGAACTTGGAATTTTACTGCCTTTGAAATGGCTGTTTCAAAGACTGGGTTAGGTAGGCAGTTTGTTATCAATCTGAAAAAATTGCAAACCTGCTCTCGTCTACATAAACATAAATTCACATTAACTGCTTACATTCAGAATCCATCCAGAACCTCAGAGATTTGAAACGCATTCGGAAATCCATCGACAACAGTGACATATCTGTTGCAGGACAGCCATTCAACTGCAAAATGACATAATGACGCCTTGCTTTTATATACAATTATAACCTGAATACAACTAGCTGCATCGGGTGCCCTATTGCAAAGACACTTGTTGAATGGGAGTTTCCCTCATCAGTGTTGGCAATTAGACGGCAAATTATTGGAGACGGGTTGCCTGTCTCCAGGAATAGCTTTATGATCAAAAGTGGCCACCCAGAGGTTGAGGATGTTGAACACTCAGCCTGTGGGCGACCAACTGGTAACGCAGCCACTTCAATCAGTCGCTGAATGCAAAAAAAACAATCAAACAAAAACTACAACTGAAGTTTGTTGTTTGTTTTTTTGTAGATTCGAGGAAGTTGTCATCTGATTTCTCTTTTGGTGTCAGTGAGGCACAAAGCAGAAACATGAAAACATGCTGAGTATTTACTGCTTCATGCTGGATTCACAGGGAACAACCGTTTAATGTTTTCAGGGATTTTTTTTTTATTGTAAACTGAGGTTTGTAAAAATAATTTAAAGACTAAGAAGCTTAATTTTCAGTTGATGAGGTCATTGACATTCACCCCAGATTAAAGTGCTGCCCACTAAAAAGAAAGGAAATTGAAATGATTATTACCACCCATTTTAAAACTTGTGTTTGTGCTTATTTTCACTTACAATAACAATTGCCTTTGTTTTGCAACCACAAAACAGGTCATTACATAAAAACATTAGCATGGGCACTGCTTATTTAACAAGTGTCTTATTTTCAACACAATTTTCCACACAGAATTTCCCAATCACTGCATCCCTACTTTCAGCCCACTGTCACAATGGGTGCTGCCCAAAGTGGAGATGGCCTGACCCCTCACATCCTCCTGCCTGCGCTGTCTGCACCCCTCCCCCTTCCAGCAACAAGCCTCTGTCCAGACCCCCGGCCTCCTGACCTAATCTAGATGATTAAATCATTTTTCTTTAGCACAAATTTTGTCCCCCCACTAGTCTTGTCTGGTAGTTGTCGCACACCCTCCCCTATTGATCGCCATGCTGAGGAGATTACCCTAATAGCTGGGATTACCTCCCCACATGTTGGTTGGTTACTCTAGGGGAGGAGGGGAGGGCTGGAGATGGTGCATGATGTGCAAGTGCAAAGAGGGAGGGGGGGAGTAAAACATATTAAAAAATTAAAATTAAAATCTAGACCTGGATTTGTTTGTTGCCTGTGAGTACTATAAAAGACAAACCAATATTACTCTCTGTGGGATGTAATTAAGACTTTTAAGCACCCACATAACAATCTTTATCATTCAGTATGTATGCTGTGCATAATCAGTCATAAGACAAGAGCTTTTTGAGGCAGGGGTAGATAAACAACACCCCCCAAGGCCCTTTCTGACAAAAATTGGGACCGCTCCTCCTGCTTAGCCCAGTTGAAATCCAGTTTGAGTGCTAAATCAGCCTCAATCTTTATAAAATGTTAAAGGTTTCAATTATATTTTGTTATAGATTAATATGCACTATTTTTTGTTTCTTTTGCTTTGTTTGGTACTACTGGTCAGACAAAAGAAGCAAAACACACACCATTTTTTGACTTTTGGACCCTACTCATCAGTCCTTTCCTGATAACAATACAGTTTAAGTGGCCCATCCACATGTTTCACTGAGGCCTCTGTGGTGTGGAGGCTCGGTGGGTGTTTTAGCTCACTGTTTCTAACGAGTGCAAGGGGTGAGAGTGGTTAGAAATCAAGATGTTAGACCCACTGTGACACGAAGGCAGGCGGGCAGGCTGAGAGAGAGGCTGGAGGCCATTCAGACAGTGCAGAGCAGAGAAAAGGAATTCCGTTAATCCGCCGCTGATCCGGTACAATGGCAGCCTTGTTGTCTGTCCCGTTTGCGCTCACTTACTCACCACAAGTTTGTGTGCGTCGACCGCCTTCACAGCTGTGCCCGAACCGCACCGGAGATGATGGTAATGGTTAAAGAAGCGATAATGTGTGGAGCTGGCAGGGAGGGGGCTGTCAAGTCGCTACATGTAGGAAACAGCCTCGCTTCACGGGACACACGACTTCTCCCGAGTGCGTTACAAATAACTGACATCCATATTTAGTTGCCAACTAACCGACGGGGATGTTGTAGTCAACTTTCGCCAGCACAAACTCAAAACGGAGCACTTCTCGTATAGGCTGCTCCCGTCCGACACCCCACCGGGTCTCTTTTGTTAGTTAACCGTCGTTTGGCTTCACTCCTTACCTCCAGAGGGGTTAACGATAAGCGGCAGGTCGCTCCTGAAGGAATCCCATCACGGACCGAGCTCTCGCCTCGCAGCGGATAAACACTTGTCCACAAACCGAAGGGAGGGGAGCGGAGGAGGAGGGAGGCGGAGGGGGGCTATCCTTTGAGCGGTGTGCTCATCTCCTTTCTGCTCGGTGGCGTCAAAACTTCCGCGTATTTCAATCACAGCGGTGCACCTGAACCGCAGTTCCCGTTCCGCTCCTCGGCTGCTGCGGCGGCCGTCGTCGTCGCCGGGGACATGAGTGACGCGAGAGATAACGTTATTAACGTTAATAACAAGCAAGGGCGAGTGATCTCTGCGTGCGCGCGCCTCGCTTCCATTCACTGCAGCTGAGCCTGACTGCTGAGAGGTGACCGGTGCACGCGCGTGCGGAACATTGAGTGAGGTCGAGCTCGTGTTTGCGGCTCAAATGGAGGTAAAAGTGTGCCCACACCGCCACTTCACTAATGCCACCTTGAGTAGAAACGAGGAGTTTACGGTTTGGATTATTGTTTTGCGATGTTATGCAACAATAGTTGCAATAATAATAATAATAAATAATAATATATAGACTTTTCATATAAGCAAAAAACTTTAAATCCTACTTTAATGGCTTATTAGTTCACACGTTATATGATTTAAAGTATATTAAAAGCATATAAATTAAAACCTTCCTCAAATAAATGGTATAGATTTTAAATGCTAATATTTGCATATACAGTCGTTCTATTACATTTTATTTACATAGCACCAGTTTAGAACAATAGCCACCTTAATGTGCTTTATATTGTAAGGTAAAGACCCTACAACACCAGAAAGAAACCCCAACAATTACACGAACCCCTATGAGCAAGCACTTGGCAACTGTGGGAAGGAAAAACTCACTTTTAACAGAAACCAGGCTCAGAGAGGAGTGAACAACTGGAGATTTTAGCAGCTATTTTATAAAGAGCGCAATTAAAGTCTTTTTGAGTTTGATTAAATACAGCAATGGTGTATAGACTCACAGAGTGAAAAGACGTGAGAGAAACACCAATTGGAAATCATCAATCTGTTTCTAATGATAGAGTTAATGCAAATGTTAGTGGGGAAGCAGAGAGAAGCACAACATAAAAGTAATTTGTAATGCTACTTTAGTGAAGGACTTGAGTAAACATACCACATTACTTTCCTACTACTTATCCAGGTGTTTTGATCACTGTAAAATTAAGAGTACTAATTAATAGGGGCAGACAGTTGATGCAGGTGCTACTTTGGGGGCAAAAACTTTATTATTGCATGTTTTTCTTCTTTATTCTGCTTGAAGAATGTGACAAATCCACAAGCTGAACAGTAATGTGTTTATTTAG